CTACAGCTGCAGGCAGGCCAGGCGGTGTTAACCCCAGAGGAACAGTGGGGAGCAGCACCCCGACTGCTCTAAGGTCAGCACGCGCCTGGGCAGTGATCAGGAGGAACACCGATGCGCTGCTTGTCCATGTGAAGCAGGGGGCCCCGGCATCCATCCGAGCCGCTGCGGCTGAGCTCTCTGCTATGCTATGGGCGCAGACCCTGTTGGAGAAAAACCAAGGACTGTGGCTCCTGAAATTTCAGAAAATATTTTAGTTCCTTCTTTGCTATTCTTTCTGCTCCAGTATCCATGACATGCACCTGCTCTTTATCACCGATTCGTTATCTGCATTGCACTTAGCAACACCTGGATTCATTTTACAATATTTCTAAAGTTTACTACTCTTTATTCATGTGACCAGAAAGTCACAGGGCAGATTCTACATATGATTTTGCTCACCAATACTACAGTTTTATGTTTCACATTTTTAAAAATAATTATTTTCATTTGAAAAAAATAGAGACCAGGAATATTTAAGACAAAAATCTTTGCATTTCCTCATGAGTTTGAATGAGAATAAATGCTTACTAAGAGAACGCATGAAGCTGCAGTCTTTGTGCAGTTATTTTAATAAGATGTTCACTTTATGTGCCCAGCTTCTAAGAGTGTTAGAGTGGGACCCGGCATGATAGCCTAGTGGCTAAAGTCCTCGCTTTGCATGCACCAGGATCCCATGTGGGTGCCCCTTTGAGTCCTGGCTGCTCCACTTCCCAGCCAGCTCCCTGTTTAGGTCCTGGGAAAGAAGTAGAGAATAGCCCAAAGTCTTGGGACCCTGTACCCACATGGGAGATAGGAAGAGGTTCCTGGTCCTGGCTTTGAATCAGCTTGGCTCTAGCCATCATGGCCATTTGCAGAGTGAACCAGAGAATAGAAGATCTTTCTCTCTGTTTGTCTCTCTATGAATCTTGCCTTTCCCATAAAAATAAATAAATCTTAAAAAAAAAAAAAAGATTCATCCAATGACAGGGGCATACTGCCTTAAAGTAATATTTATGTTATTCTCACAAATAAGGAGATACTTAAGAAAGTTTTGCCTATAGTCCTCAAATTTAAACACAAACCAACAATACAGAGAAATCTAAAGGGGTGGGAGCAGGGGCAAAGTGACTGGCTCAGCAGTTACGCTGCTGGCTGGACACCCACGTCCAGCAGTGGAGCATCCGGGTTCAAAAGCACGGCGCCAGCTCAGAACTGCACCTTCCTCCGGCGCGGCAGAGGGAGCGGTGCGCGTGCTCAGGCTCCTGTCACTCATTTGGAAGGTCTGAACTGACTTCTTGCCACCCAGCTTCGGCCCTCCTCTGGCTCCACTGAGCTTTTTCTGTGCGTCTCTTAAAAATCAGAAATCCGAAGACTTGAGAGCACACTCGGATTCGCCCACAGAATCTGCAGATCTCTCAGACTCAGTCAGTCACTGTTCCGTGTTCTCTGCTGGAGCTGAAGGCCACATCTGTGACTGATCGTTGTATTTTAATTGCAGTTCTGCCATGCTCATGTTCTCTCAGTAAAGGGACTTGATGAGTGCCAATGGATCTCTATGCAAGAAACACTTGAATTGTTTAACTGTCACTTACGTAGTAGAACTTCAAGTTGATGTTGAGAACATAAAAACAACTTCTGTTTATAAACTGTTTATATTCACAGAATCTTTTTTCTTTTATAACCTGACTTAACTTGTGACTTCAATATGATCCAGGGAAAACACTCTTTTAGTAGGATGACTATGAAATGTGTAGTACAGAGAAAGAAATTGGAGAATGTATGCTTTCATCTCAAAGAGTTGGCAACTGATGCTGGAACGATCCAAGAGCCAAGTCCACGTACACGTTAGGGGGAGTGGAACTTGACTGCTGACACCGGTGCAGCCTTGGTGTGACGGGGAACATGGACATGAAGCCCTCACCCTGGAGTGACCCACCACGCTCTTCCTCTAAAACACATCTGCAAGCCAAGCACTCGTCACCACCCTTGCTCTGCCCCTTGCCGCCGTGGCTGAGGGGCCCAGCATCTCTTAAATGAGCTAAGCTGTGGTCCTCTCATTGACTAGCTATTCCTTGAAGCTCTCAAGCATATTATAGCAATCACTGAGTTTTTCCCCTTGCTCTTTCCTCTGCCTAGTGGCCTCTTCTCACATATTATAATCCACCAAGTCAATCCCTTCAGGTTCCTATTCATATCAAAGACGTCGACCCTGGCACTCTGCGTGAAGTAACCTCGTTTGTCCTACCTTCAGTTTCACTTTGTTCCTCTTCATAGTATTTATTACTAACATGGCACATATTTATCACTAGTTTCTCCTATTACGGGGACGGGGCTTTTTCTGCCAAGGGCCATGTGGATATTTATAACATCACTTGCAGGCCATACCAAAAGAACAACTTAAGATCAGCCTGTTTTGGGCCTGGCAGCGTGGCCTAGCAGCTAAAGTCCTCACCTTGAACGCCCCAGGATCCCATATGAGCGCCGGTTCTAATCCCAGCAGCTCCACTTCCCATCCAGCTCCCTGCTTGTGGCCTGGGAAAGCAGTCAAGGACGGCCCAAAGCCTTGGGACCCTGCACCCAGTGGGATACCTGGAAGAAGATCTTGGCTCCTGGTTTCGGCTCGGCTCCGGCCGTTGCACTCACTTTGGGAGTGAATCATCGGACAGAAGACCTTCTGCTCTGTCTCTCCTCCTCTCTGTATATCTGACTTTCCAATAAATAAATAAATCTTAAAAAAAAAAAAATCAGCCTGTTTCAGATATACCAGATGTCCAGTCCCTGCTGCGGTTGCCTAGGCAGTGACAGTCCAGTTCTTTCATGATTTACACAGCCTGCAGGTGAGACAAGCTCTGCCCCGTCCCATTAGAATGTAGACCTCTTAAAGTTTCTATCATCTGATGCACTAGTATGTGCCTAGGCCAGCACTGCCACCAATAAACCAATAAAAGTATGTTTCCAATAAACCTATGCTTCATGACTGCTCCAACTGAACAGTGATGCAGGGCAGCAGCAAGCTGACCCCACAAGGCAGTTCATCATAAATGCCAAATGGACAGCATGGAGTAGTGATATCCCAAAGTAACATACATCAGCATCACCAGGAGAACTTTGTCAAAATACACACGCCCAGGGCCCGGCGCAGTGGCGCAAGTGGTTAAAGGTCCTCGCCTTGCACACCCGGGATCCCATAAGGGCGCCGGTTCTAATCCCGGCAGCCCCGCTTCCAATCCAGCTCCCTGCCTGTGGCCCGGGAAAGCAGCAGAGGATGGCCCAAAGCTTTGGGAACCTGCACCCGCGTGGGAGACCTGGAAGAGGCTCCTGGCTTCGGATCGGCATAGTATCGACCCGTTGCGCTCACTTGGGGAGTGAATCATCGGATGGAAGATCTTCCTCTCTGTCTCTCCTCTCTGTATATCCGCCTTTCCAATGAAAAAATAATAATAAAAATAAATCTTTAAAAAAAAAAAAAAGAAAAAAAAAAAGAAAACAAAATACACACGCCCAGTCCCCGCCATGGAATCCATCAACTTCATCCTAAACTGCCACCATCTCTCATGGTTTTCTTTTGAATTGTGGTGAAGCATACATAACGTAAAATTTGTCACTTTAACCATTTCTAGGTGATCTATTTTGTGTCGCTGTTTAAGGCGCCCAGTGCAGTGGCCTAGTGGCTAAAGTCCTCGTCTTGCAAGCACCAGGATCCCATATGGGCGCCGGTTCTATCCTGGCAGCCCCACTTCCCTTCCAGCTCCCTGCTTGTGGCCTGGGAAAGCAGTCCAGGACAGCCCAAAGCCTTGGGACCCTGCACCCACATGGGAGACCCAGAAGAGGCCCCTGGCTCCTGGCTTCAGATCAGCTCAGTTCTGACCACTGCAGCTGCTTGGGGAGTGAATCAATGGACGGAAGATCTTTGTCTCCTCCTCCTCTCTGTATATCTAACTTTCCAACAAAAATAAAATAAATATTAAAAAAAAAAGATGCCTGGTATATTATTTCTACTTAGCAGAGGCAGAATAGCTGAAAAAGAATGTCTGACCTTCCCCACTTTGCAAAAAAAGCATCCTGTCATTTTAGAAGGAGTATGAGCCTTGGAACTGAACACAGGCCCGTCTCTCACCAGTTCTGAGACAGGGAAAACTACTCATTCTTGAGGTTCTCCATCTGTAAAACCAAGATCACTTCTACCTTCTTTCTGACTCCATGCTCACTCTGCACGGCTACCCAGGTTACTGTAACACTGAAGCACACAAACTATCCACTCTGACGCACGTAACTGGCATTAAACTAGAACTTTCTAGAAGTGCTCTGTTTGGAATAAGAAAGTCATGTTGGTAGATACCACATGGACATATCTTGGCCTCAGTGGCTGTAACAGCGTCCCTTCCTCTTTGAGGAGACACAGTGGCCTCTGACAGCAGGTCCTCAGACTGGATGCTAGAACGGATTGCCTGACGTCGGCATGCTGCAGAAGCACTCCAAGGGCCTTTAAGCCACAGACTCCCGCAACTTCTCAACCCATAAAGGTAGGGCGGGGCCTGGGAATCTGCATTTCCACCAAGTTCCCAGAGGACCTGGAGCAGGAAGCTGCGGGTCTGGGAATCACACTTAATAAACAAATGAGTGAAAGAACGGGCATCCACTCAAAGCCTCCTGAGCAGGATAATCCCTATAATTTACTTTTAAAAACGAAACTAAAAAGTAACAAACCTTGAAATGGTCTGTCTTCTAAAATATCAGAATCAATAATGTGTACCATGACTTTCACAGCATTTTACAATGTGAACAACAACAAAAAAGTCATAAACTTGGGAATTCACTAACAAAAGGGGCCTCTCATCCCATAAGCATGCGAGAAAATTAATTCCAACATAACTCTCGGGATACTCATTAGCTCAAAAAGTTAAGATCTGTATGCAAACAAGAGCGAGCTCAGTTTTCAAAGAGCAAAGCAAGTGCAACTTGCGACGCGCAAGAACACTCACAAGTGTGGAGGCATTCCGTCACCGTGGTCGGCTTGATGAGATACCCTTTACAGATGTAGCAGGTAATGTAAGGATTGAAATCTTTCACCAGGTGTTTCCTTTGGGTAGCCATTCGTGGTCAGCCAAACGTGGCTCTGGCAGTTCAGACACAGCGGGGTCCGAAGCGGACGAGTGGCCGATCCCAGGAGCTGGTGCGGTGGTTCCCGACGCGGAGCCTTGAAGCACAGGAATGGACAGCCAGGATTCCTGGGAGATCGCCGATCATCACTCCTTTTGAGGCTTTCCCATATCTGCTTCCAGAATCATTTTTAAAAGAAAAAAAGCGCGTCAGATTCCTCATAACATATCGGTATCAATACATTCACAGCCAAGGGCTGCACATTCTAAACTGTCTGAATAGAGCGTATTCTTCATTGTCCTGTTAACCTGTAAATCTGCTGTAACTTAATACAAAACCACCTCTACGCCAACAACGCCCAAAGGTGCGAACACCAGTTGATATTTTTACCTACTCAGTAAAGGAGTTTAACTATCTTCTTAAGTGCCCTTCTCGGAATTGCTGCCAATACAAGTAAGATGCCATCATCCCCCTCTCCTGTCAAAATACTCCCTGTGTGTGTCTGTGCTTCATCTGCAACCTGCAGCCAATCAAACTGGTGACCTGTTCCATTCCACACACAGCCACCTGCAGCCCATTTGTAAGGAGCGCTCTCAGGCGCCTGCATTCAATCACTTTAACAGGCGGTCAGTGTCTGCTCCTCACAAACAGAAAGGTAAAGTCTTACCTGTCAGGTAAGACCCCTGCAGCTTGACATTAACACACCTTTCCACACCTGTGCTGCGGGAAAAACGGAAAGGACTGCTCCTCGCCCACAATCCCCCTGGTCAGGCCCCACGCCCCTGTCCAATACGCCCGAGCTGGGTGGCCATGTGGGTTCCACGCTGTCTCTAGAACATGCTCATCCGGGGCTTCCCTGCGCAGGCCCACACCCTCTATCCAAAAAGGCTTCCCTCCCTCTGTCTGCATCCTACCCACTTCCCCAATCCTCTAATGCCATCTCCTCCCTCTTTCATCCTGATCTCTCTGAAATAGCTTCAATATAAACCAATCACATTTAGCAGATGTATAACTTTCCTCTTTTGGCTGGGGTGTTTTTAAAGAAGGGGTGTGTGTGAGTGTGTGTGTGCGCGCGTGCAAAAAAAAATGTCAACCTCCCAAAGTGATCAAGATTCAACGAGGCAATATATTCCTACAGTAAAAACACAACAGCTGTCATTAACAGATCTAGAAACACTTCGCATAGTTGGCTTTATACAAAAAGTTATGCTGTTTTTTTTTTTCCCCGGAAACTTTGAAAGTTTACTTACAAGAAATGTATCTTCTGAGAAAACCAGACTTGGAAAAAGCAGCTGATTTTCTTAAGGCCATTCCACGAACAGGAGCCCCCCACCCCTTGGTGGCTGTTAACTCATGGCAAGGATTAAGCAACCGGAAAGGTAAACGGCAACACACGCCCATTTTGAGTGTGCAGGGAATAGGGGCTGCCTGTCAGCTTCCCAGCCGCTCGGGCAGTCGCTTGAGGCCGTCACAGAGTAGCCAACACCGACAGCCTAGTCCTGAGCCTTGCGCCAGGCTGACCTCCAGCCAAGTGTTTAAGAGCCGAGCTCGGGTCCTCCGCCTTCCTCCTCTACCCTAAAACGAACCTCCATGCCTTTCCCACGGCTTTCCCACCGATGCCGCGGACTAAGACAAAGTCCTCCGGTTAGTAAGAGGAGACGCAGTTTCCACCCGGAGCGCCTTAAGAGCTTAAGCCACACAGTCAAGCCACCAAGAAGGTTCAAGGAAGCAAGCTCTCGCAGCGATGACGCAGGAGGCAACTTTTCCGCGTCCTCCAGTTGGACCCGGCGGGCCCAGTCCTCAGTGGTTGGAGCCCTAGCGCGCCTGCCAGCCTGCCTGCCCGCCCGCCCGCCCGCCCGGCAGGTGCTCGGGCCCGGACGCCGCCGCCGACGCGCAGCTCGGGTCGGGCCGGGGCGCGCGAGCCGCCTCTCCCGGTCCCGGCGCCACGGCAAGCCAGCCGCCCTCTCCGCCCCCCGAGGGGAGGGCACGGCTCGCAGGGGCCCCCCTCTCCGATCTCAGCTGGCCGCCCCCGCCCTCGCTCCGGGACTCTCCTGGCTCCAGCCCCGCCGACCGCGGCAGGTGTCCGGGGGTGCCGCTCCCGCCCCGAGGAGCAAACTTGAGCGGAGAGCGCGAGCGCAGCCGGCGCCCCGGGCCCCCTCCTGCAAGCCCCGCCGGTACCTACCCAGCGGCCGCCGCCGCCGCCGCCGCCTGCCCGCCAGCGCGCCGGCCTCCGAGCCAAGGAAAGTGAAAGAGAAACAACGCCCGCCCGTCGCGGCCTGGCCGGTCCCCGCGCCCTGTCCGCCCTCCCCCTGCAGGCGGGAGCGCGCCGGCTCCGCGGGGCCACTCGCTCGGGCCCGATAGGGCGCGCCGGGCCTCGGGGCCCAGGGCGGGTGCCGCCTCCAAGGGCAACTCCACCCCCTTCCAACCGCCGGCGCCGCCCGGCTCTGCCCGGCTCGCGGCTGGCCCCGCCTCGCCCCGCCTGGCCACGCCTGCCCCTCCGTCCGTCCGCCGCAGCCCCTCGCAGGTGCCGCGGACACCCCGGCCGGCCCGCGCCGCGGCCCCTGGGCGAACACGGCACGAGTGGAGGGCCCAGCTTTATCTCGGTTCTCGTAGCCTCACCGGCACCCCCCCTCCAGGTTGTTTTCATCACAACAATGACTAGTAGATTTTTTTTTTCCCTCCTCCTCCTGGCGGGTTTGAAAGCAACGGTCAGCGCTGAGAGTGAATCACCCTGAGATGATGTCTCTCCAAGTCATTCATTCCCACCTGGACCGCGGTGGGGACGAAGACCCGTCTCAACATGCACCTGACATCACCAGCGAGCCCCTTAGTGCGCAGGGTGGGTCCAGGCTACGACTGTGGACAACCATCTACCTAAGCTGTGGGAGTGTGTTGGAGGGGATCGTGGGGTAGGGAGAGGGGGTAGGGAGTAAGGAGAGGGGGTCTTGTGATTAAAAAATATATATATACTGTTTTACAAGGTTTAAGACAAACCGAAAACCCCAGGGCTCTTTCCGGTGGACTTTCAAGGTTTATGAGAGACCGTTCACAGAAGCATCCACTCCAAAGCCCGCAGTGGAGGGCTCCTCATTCAACCCTAATTCTGCATTCCACAAACTCACTAGTTCCTACTACCGCGTTTTGCTCAGCACACATTAGACCGGGCGCTTGGCTTCCTGCCGGATTGCACTCCATCCATCCTAACCTAGTAGGCAAACCAGTGTGGTCTTCACCCGGGAAATGAGTTAACTGGAAGATCTCAAAGGGGATCGTGGAACAGCAACTCTCCATTTTATTTATGGCAAAGGCCAAACAGGTGTTAACAATGACGTGACTTTTGCAGCAGGCACGGTAGCATAAAGAACTGACCGTGATAAGGTCATGGGGGTTGAGGGAGTGTTAATGTAAAGTGTTAGCTTTATCCCAAAACTCACAGGCGTCAACCTTCTTACTACAGTAATAGATCGAAAAGATTGGCACTGGTGGTAAAAACCAAACCAACCTCAGGACATTCAAAGCACACCAAGGCAGCTCTTAAAACTGCCCACTTCATAATTAAACTTATGGAGGGGAAACATACGTAAAAAAAAAAAATGACCATTTTTAATATGGCAGGAGCTTTCTCATTTCTGAAAAAGCTGTAAGTGGTCACATTTTTACAGTCCTTTAAAAAAAAATGCCTGTTTCTAAAGTAGGATCCACTTCCATAAGTCACAGCTATCACAATGAATGCAGGGAAAAAGTCAAATTACTTTTTAGCTTTCATCTCAGAGACTACGCAGATCAATATGGGGGAAATTACACTATGGTTGTGAAGTGGAAGATATAACGAATAAACTACAACACAAAATGCTTCCTTATTGTGCCTGAATGTATTATTGTGTCTATATGGGATGAATCCCAAGGGGCTTAACGATGCCTTGTGAACAAGAATGATTTTAGTCAATGAGCTTGGGCAGAGAGAGAGAGGAGGACAGTGGAAAGGTAAGAGGGAGGAAAGATGGGAAGAGAGCCAGCCAGCCAGCCAGCCAGCTTCCATTCACTGGCTCACTCTGCAAATGGCCCACGCGTGGGGCTAGGCCAGGATGAAGTCGACTCCACCCACAGGGGTAGCAGAGACTTGAATCATCACGTGCCTCCTCGGAAGTGCCTTGGCAGGTACATGGGTTACAAGGACAGGAGCTGGGATCCAGGTTAGCACTTTAATTGGGCTGCAGGCTCCTCTAGCTGTGCCACAATGCCAGGTTTCATTTGATTACCCACCTAGACTCTAGATCACGACAAATGGTTCTTGACAAACTTTGGAATGATTCTAAGCTATCTGTGTATCTTAAAACATTATTTCATTACATTATATTTGATGTTTAGATTTTGATTTCCATTAAGGCTGAGCAGTGGATGGGTAATGCTGTACTGACAAATTCACATTCCTTTCTCCTCCAATAAATTCATTACAATTTAATTGGTTTTTAATGGGATGAATCATCTAAAAGTCTATATCGTATATTAACTTTCCTCTGAAATATTAAGATAACTATTTTAATTATAAGTTTTATTTAATTTTTAACATAGAATTTTTCAACACATAAACTACCCTCTATAATCAAACTCTTCCCGAGGAGATTATAGAAAATGTGACATTTTTAACCTAAGTATCCTATTTGGACTACACATATTTAAGATCATGAATAATAGCATTCAAAATCAGTGACAGCCTAAAATCAATGACAGAGGAATGGGAAAAGACCCAGGGATGGAAAGACTTCTCAGTCTTAACCATGTTTCTCTTTCTCTCACTGCTCCCTGCCCTCAAGATCCAGTAATTCATGAAGACCGCGTGCTGCATGGCCCCTGGCTCCCTCCACGTGGCTTAGGCTGTTCCGATCTTTATCATCTCAAACTCTATTACTCAAGGAGCTATTAAGTAGTCTCCCTATGGATCTCCGCTAAACTACCCTCCCACAGGATGGCCAAAGGACTTTTAACTACACACTTTACCGCAGTGCTCCCTGGCTTAGGGAATCAACACAAAATGGATAAAGCTGACAATAAGGGGCGTTTATATCCCCCTCGCCTTGTGTCCACACCTTCTTCCTTGACCTCCCCACTCCGGCCCTATAGAGAATTTCTACCCTCCAGGTTGACAGAGAGCCACCCTGTCTTAATCCCCTTACCTGTTATCAGCCCCGCTGTGTCTCTCAATCTTACTTATCCTTTATCAGCTGATTTCAAGGGCCACCTTCTCAGATGTCTATAGATACAGCTCGTGTTTGTTCATAACAACACATTCTCTCAAACCATGTATCACACTGAGTCATAGCAGCTGGTTTCCTACCTTAAAACTTCCTGCTAGAGT